CAGTGAGAGTGAGACAGTGAGAGAGTGAGACAGTGAGTGAGTGAGTCAGTGAGAGTGAGACAGTGAGAGAGTGAGGCAGTGAGTGAGTGAGACAGTGAGTGAGTGAGACAGTTGCAACTAGAGCTTTTGCAGGGCCTGCAGGCCCGGTCAGACTCTGGGAAGACTGGCTCCAACCACAGTGGTCCTGGGACCAGGAGTGCAAGGAGACAAGCGGAGCAGGTGACTGTGTGCCATGACTGCCCATCAGCCAACCAGCTCGACAGACCAGAGGCCCTGGAACTGCTAGCTATCAGACTGTAGAAAATCCAGGTTCCCATGGCCTTCCAGAAGAGTCTCTTCTCCCAGAGCTTCCTAGGAATTGCTCTTGACTGGATGTTACTGTATTTGGACACACTAAAAGACTTTAAAAGAGCCTCATAACAAAGAGATGAGGGCCCCAAATATAAAACATAAACCTACATTATAAAGTCATTAATATATGATTGTATAGTTTGTGTTGATCAATGAGAAACCTAAGATGACTGATTGCAACTACACTCCATGGGGAAGCAGCCAGGCTGGGAGAATAGTCGACCCAGTCACAAGGATAAGGTGACATGCCCGGCAAATATTAGTAGCACCACAGGAATCACTGCGGGGTGGGGTGGGCAACCCAGAGGTAACCCTGTGTCTGGGCAAACACAGCATGATGACCTTCAGGGTCTAGGTAAATGGTACCCCTTGCTCCCTCAGAGAACCTGGTCCAAGTGACACTTGGAAAAGAAAGGTCTGACCCCTTGGTGTACTCTCGGAGGTGGGAAAAGCCTTTTCTGTATCTTAAAAAAAAAAAAAAAGACAATTGCAATTGAGTTGTGTCTGATGCACGGAAACCCCTTACGTGTCAGAGTAGAACCTCTTCCGTTGGATTTTCAATGCTGATATTTTGAAGGCTGATTACCAGGCTCCCCCCACCACCCCAATTAACCCCTGGATGGATTCCAGAGCCTTAATATTTCAGTCAGTCAACTGGGTGACCCTTCCCATCACCGAGAGTCTTCCATATTTTATTCTCAGAATACTGGAGCTCCTCCCAGAAATGTTTCTGTCCTAGGTGCTGAATGCCAAAACCAAACCAAACAAACACTCACACCAAACTCACTGACATCGAATTCGAATTGATGCCGATGCACAGGGCCTCTAAAGGACACAGTCGAACCACCCGATAGACCGTCATCTTCACAGGAGGAAGCGGCCATGTCTTTGTCCTATGGAATAGCTGGTGGGTTTGAACTATGGCCCTTCGGTTAGCAGCAGAGCACTGAACCATGGTGCCACCAGGATTGTATTCATGGCCTTCAATTTTACCTAAGTCGAAAAACATGGCCTAGAAGAAGCAGGCATCAGAATGCTACTTATTCAACAGCCTGGGTTGGGCTGCTAATCTAAGGGTTAGCAGTTGGAACCCACCAGGTACTCTGAAGGAGAAAGATGAGGCTGTTTGCTTCTGGAAAGATTTCCAGCTTTGGGCACCCTATATATGGCCACCACGTGTCCAGACTGACTTAATAGCAGTGGGTTTTAGTGGATGGGCTTCACTCATTCTTCAGTCCGATCCCGTCTCTTTAAAGTGTTGTAAAGCAAGGAGGTTGCTTTGAGGACTAAGTTGCACCTGAGCCAAGCCATGGTATTTTCAATCGATTCATATGCATGTGAAAGTCAGACACTGAATAAGGAATGCCTGAAGAAGAACGGGTGCATTTGACTTATGGGGCTGGAGAAGAATATTCAAAGTACCACGGACTGCCAAAAGAGCAAATGAATCTGTCTTGGAAGACGTACAGACAAAATGTTCCTTAGAGACAAGGATGGCGAGACTTCATCTCACGTACTTTGGACATCCTGTCAGGAGAGACTAGTCCCTGGAGAAAGGCATCGTGCTTGGTAAAGGAGGCGGGCAGGGAAAAAGAGGAAGTCCCTCAACAAGACGGACCAATGGGCTCAGACATAAGAACAATTGTGAGGGCGCCGTGAGACCCAGGCAGTGTTTCCTTGTGCTGTACGTCGGGTCCCTGTGAGTCGGAACCAATTCCACGGCACCTAACAACAACAACAACAACAACAGCCTGTCTAATCTATTTTGAAGCTCCTTATCAGCCCAACAACAGAAGCATGTCTTCGCAGGCCATGTGAGGTGAGAAACATCAGCCGACCACGGAGTCGCAGCCCCTCTGGGGACAGGAATAGGCAGTCAAGCCTCCTGAGACCCTCTAGAGACGCCTCTTCAGGCTGATTTTGGTGGGAGCCATTGAGTACACTCTGGCTCAAAGTGACCCCAGGTGACAGCGTGGAACTGACCCAAAGGGTCTTTCTCCTACAGAGCAGCTAGGTGGGTTTGAACCATCAAACTCTGTTAGGATGGCAGTGTGAATCCTCTGTGCTAGCAGGGCTACCAGACCGCACCAGTGGAGGTGCCAAACAGCTGTCATGTTCTGCAGAAAAGAACGTCTTCCCAGCTCTTTCATGATCTAGGAGCTTCTACATTATACATGTGACGTGCATGGTCATTTTTCCCAGCGAACGAGAGCAACAAGCCCAGCCCATACTGCATGGGCTGTATGCAACGGCCCTGCCCTACAAGAAGGAATCTTCAGATGTTTCCATTAGGCATCTTAAAATGTTTGGAATGAATGATTTTAGAAAACCGCTTCTCTTGACCGGAGCAATTTTGATCTCTGAGAAGAAAAATCTTATGAGGGTTGAAAGTAACCCAGGAAAAAGTTCAAAAGAAAAGGTGAGCTGCCCAAGACCTTGCTCCTGGGACAGGCCAGAGAGGCCCCATCAGACAGATCTGCTTCCCTCCTGGACATGGCTTCTCAACTCCCAGGCTCCTCTGAGGGCACTACCCCCTTAGGAAAGACTTAGAAATGGTTCTAGAAGAAAAATGCTAGGCTTCTTTCTAGTTCTAAGAAGCTACTTTCGATAAGCACGGGTCTTCTAAAATCTCCTGCACATGACCCTGTGAATTAAGTGGGAGCCCCCATATCCCCTTTCAGGGCAGAGCCCAGCTGAGTGTTCCTCTCTCCCTCCTCCCCAGTCTCCAAGTCGTGGTAGGCAATTCTAGTCCACTGACCTTGGGTCACGTGTCCAGCAGCTTGGTCTTCCAGGTTGGGGGTATCTCCAATGCCGGCTTCTTCAGCTGGTTTATGCATCCGCAAATGAAAAAGAAAAAAGCAGAAGTAGTTATTGCTTGCTAGACACAAAGCTCTCTGTATCGTCCGGTGTTTCGTCTGAAACCGTCAGGAAAGGCACAGCTTGAAAGTACCCAGGTCCTGCACATCACTCTGGTTTTGCTGAATATTGTTGGGGGTGTTGATGGGGGAAAAAAAGTTTATGAAAGGAAACACTTGGAAGCCCCTAATAAAGCAATTAAAAACAAACAAACAAATAAATAAATAAATAGAAAAAAGAAAACACTTGGAAGCCAAATGCTTTACAAATGAATTTGACCTAGTGGGAAAGAGCTTCTCAACAATGAGTCCAGGGCCCTGGAGCAAAGGTCGACAATGATGACCAGGGTAGGTGCAGTCAAAGCAGCAGTTTGTGGTTGAGTCATAGCCGATGGACTGTCTTCAGTCCCAGCTATGGTGCTCAGTGGGGCAGGCAGGCTCAGGGAAGGATGATGCGTGGATTTTGGCAGACCAGGCTGACATCAAGTCTGCACCACTGACTTTACCTCTCTGAACCTCCATTCCTTCATCTGTTACCCCCAGGGGATGTTACCAATTCATCTTGTAGAAGGGTGGTGCAGGCCAGTACGATAATTTGTGGGAACATGTTTAGCTAAGTGCCTGGCATATGGTAGATATTTCAAAGCTGTTGAGTTTCTTTTCTCTAAACTACTGGATAAACCCTTTGGGCCACATTAGCCCAGAACATATGCTACCTGGCTGGAAGGAAGGCAATAGTTTGGGGGGTGTCGTCTTGAGCTCCCCAAACAAAGAAGACTGACCACGACAATAGTTGATTAAATAAATCAACCTAGAACATTGATTTCTGCATTAGGAAAAATCCAATGATTGCTATTGGACAGTGAAAACAGGCATCCAGAAGAAAGAGTTTAGGACACAAGTTGGTCACCCATTGACATGTACTGGTCCCAGGACAGCGGATGAATCAAGACTCCCCGATCGACGAAGACAGAGTATGTCACCGCCTCTAAGAGATGCACCGCTGGTCTTATGTCCTAGAGCTGGGCTGAGGCACCTTCTCCATTGAAAGCAGAAACCAGAAAGTAGCACCCCTGGCCAGCACAAGCCTACCAGAGAGGAGGGATTCAGGAAAAGAAAATTCCTGGAATTCCTGACAGCCACATCATGGCCTCGTAAACATCCAGCCAGTCAGCAGCTGCAGGCAACTATGGCCAGTCAAGAGAAAGACCAGCTGAAGGGGACCGCTTCATGCGCTGCCGTGGGGACAGCTGCACGCACCGCCATCTGACAGCAGTGTGGAGCCGGGCTCTGAGGGCAAACTGGGTTTGAGTTTGTTTCTGACAAAACTACTGAAGAGAGGCTCAGCGTGGCAAGTCTAGTTAAATGGCCATGGGCTCTTCAGGACAGAGGGCACAGAGAGGCATTCTGGGATAATGTCACTGCTGGGATCACAGCACTGGGGCAGTGCCAACACAGAGCTGAAATCTCTCGGTCATGAGTCAGAAGAGGGAGTCTGAGGCATCTCCTAACTGCCTTCTCCCCGCAGACCCAACAAAGGAGGTGCCCAGAGGAACCATCGCTTGGCTTTGTGCACCAGTGGTCTGATCGTGTCACAGGCCTCTCTATGTCCCTGAAGGGTATTTTATGGGGACCCAAGAGGGCACCAGGCTCACGTGCATGGCCGAGCGTCTCTGCAGGCCACGTTGTTAACCTGGAAATTTCAATGAGAGGCCAAAGCTCAGTCAAAGTAGGTCGCTGGAGCCCAGCTCTAAAACCTCCCAGCACACTGAGGGTGGGGAGGGGAATGGTGCTTCGGAGAGAGGGACTGTGTGCTGTGTCCTCTCAAACGAGGGTTTAGGGAATGGCCACCTCCTATCTCAAACCCAGCACAAAGGCTCCAAGGCACCTCTTGGGGTGCATGCCCCCTATGGAGAGGGGGCTTGGAAGAACGAAGTCAGAATCCCACCCAGGAAAACAAAAGGATGAGAGATAGCGGTGGAGCCCAAAGTTTGTTTGCGCAAAGCTTATCGGCAAGTTTTGTAAGGGCTGGATCTGGACTCAGGTTAGGGAGAACCTGGGGCCACCTTCATCTCATCTGAGAGGGAGCCAGCCAACCTCATCAGAGTTCTTCAGGCACTGAGCAGGGAGTAAGTTTTGGCCGGAATAGAGTATGGCGGAGTGAGATGTCCGTGGGGACGAACTGGAGAGGGCACAGGAGTGGAAGGAAGAGTCAGGGATTCAATCGAGTTCCCAGGAGACAAAGACTGTAAACAAGTGTAAACAACTGTAAGCCAGCTAAGCACAGGACCCAGCAGCAGAGCTTGCCGGCTCCCCCTGCCTCCCCCACCCACTCCAGCCTAGAGGGAGCGTCAAGTGCTCCACGTGACAGGATGCGCTAATGGGCATTTCCAGGCTGTGTTTTGCGACCCGTGGAGAGGAACGTACTTTTGATTACCTAGGAGTCATAACAAACAAAAACAAAAACTCCAGCGTGAGCTGGTGAGTGCATCCTGGGCAGTCAACGTTCCCCAGAGTATCAATGACAAAGGGGCAGTGGGAGATAAAAATAAAGTTACTCATGATCCGCCCCCCCCCCCCTGCCCTTCATACTCAAGGATGAGGTCCTGCTTGGCTTTAGCGTCCCCCTCCACCCATCTCAGAAGACGTCAGTCCTTCGACTTCCTCTGGAAAAGCAGGGAGGAGTTGGGGGCAGGGCTGCCCAGGCCTCCTCTGTCCTGTGCATGAGGAGCCCCAGAAAACCCGAGGGCTTCCCTGGAGGCTGCAGTGAGCGCAGTCTTTAGGGAAGAAGCACCCTTTCTGTCATCATCCCCTCTCCAGTGCTGTGGTACGGCTGTCCAGAACTCTCCTACATTTCCTGTTGCGTTACCAGGCGCCTTGCGAATGGCCAAGCCAATGCTGGACCCTTTCCATGAGCCCAGTACAGAGGACGTGCGGGGAATGGCAGCGAGTGCACTAGGCTGTGCTGGCCGCTCCCCAAAGGCCTGCCCACTGCATCTGCAGCCAGGGCCGGGCAGCTCGAGGGTGCATCCGTGGCGGCAAGTCCAGGGCCTCATCTGACCGATTCCTTGTCATCTGTGTTGACAGAATAGTCTTGTGATGCCTGTTCTATGTAGAAATGTTTGTAACGGGCACAGAGTCCCAGAAACAGATGCTGGACTACAAACCTCTGTGTGTCGCAGAGCGGGGTGGGGGGGGACCGCGGCATTGCGGTCCTCCAGCTGTGTGGTCAGTCATCTGGATCCTGCCTCCAGTTGAGGCGCCCCTGGGGGGGCCTCATACCCTGGGAGTCGACCCTGCTGCAAGGTGGAGTCCAACCGAGCAGGAGGGTGGGCTTCATCTCAGGTGTGAAGACCATAGGTGTCTGCCACCAGCCTTCCTCAGAGAACCTTCCAGAACTCTCTGGAACTGATTCGATGACCGAGAAGAGAGGGAAATCCAAATCCAATCAAACTGCCCAACGCCACCAAGACTCCTTTGAAGAGAATCCAGAAGTCCCCCAATTCTCAGAAGGTTGACTGGGAGCCACAGAACCATGGGGGTATCGGGATGTCAAGCCCCTTACAGGCCAAGCTTCCCAGACGCTGGAATCCCGCCCACCTTCCTTGCAGCCCGTCCTTCAGCAGATCCGTCAGGGCTCCACGCAGGGCCTCCGCATCCACAGCGCAGCCCTGGGCTGGCAGCGCTCCAGAGCAGTCTCCCTCACCTGTGGTTCCTTCTGGGATCTCCGCATGGGGCTGCTTGTCAGGTGTTCTCTCATCCACTAGGGGCGCTGTCACGTCTGGAAATCGCTAAGAGTCACCTTGGGCGGGGTGGACCAGCCACCCCAGCCCTCACCTTTGCTGCTTGTGCGTGGAGGGGGGCATGAGGAGGGGAGCGACTCAGTCACATGCAAGCAAGCAGCCCCACAGAGCCAGTTGGGGGGTGGAGTGGGGGTGGGGGTGCTACAGACCCCATGGGAACATTGCAGCAAAGGAGACTGCTGAGGAAGCACCCCCCCACCTCCCACCCCTCGACATTCTTAAAGAGGAAAGCGTGGCAAAAAGCAGACTGCAGGGGAGAGAACTGGCCTGGAGGCAGCACAGGACCTGGGTTAGGGCTGGAAGCTTCTGACTTTGCTTTGGGTCTAAGCTGGGCCTCAGTTTCTTCACCTGTAAAATGGAAGGGTCATTTCGAGGTGACCTCAGTGCACCCTGAATCCATGACCCATGGCTCAGAAGTGGGCCCACATTCACAGTGGAGGCAGGAAGGTAAAACTCTCCTACCAGGAGTCACTGTCTGTCCCTCACCAAGGTAATGCCTTCAAATTGGCATTCCTCCCAGAGCAGAGCCCTGGCACGCTCCAGCTGTTCCTGGCAAACAGAAGCGTGTCAGCTTCGACAGCTTTCCAAGAGCCCACATCAGTTTCATGAAGTGATGTCCACTTCAGCTCCCTTCCCCGGGCGCAGGTGCAGCGGCCGGGCGGAGGCCAACCCACCAGGGCCCCTCCTGGTGGTCCCAGGCTTGGTTGGAAGAGTCTTCCAGAATAACCATGGTGGTAGCGCTGGCAACCCTGCCTGGGGAGACTGGCCCAAGGCCTGGAAGAGAGGCTGCCAGACTTCCTCAGAGTAGTGGGCCGTTCGCAAAACTGTCCGAGCTGACCAGCAGGAAACGTCTCGCATCAGCAGCTCTGAGAGGAGGCGTTTGCCTCGGTGGTCTCCTCAGCAAGCTAAGAGCCTTGGGCGGGGAGAGCCACGCCTGCCACGTGTTCCATGGACGACCCACGGTGCCACGCGATGGGCTGGACTCGACAGTCGCTTTCTGAACGCATCCCAAAGGGAAGACCTGGCGAAATGTCGGAGCCAGGATCTCACCCTGTGGCACGGCGTTAGAAGCCACGGGCAGGGCCGGGAGGATGCTGAGAATGGAACCTTGAGCCTTCTCCGGGAGCAGGAAGGGATGGTGGGGCAGACACAGCAAGCCCGTGAGT